GGGTGTTAATAACGGCCAGTCATCGGGTGACGACAAAACTAATCGATTTGTTTATAAAATCAAATAATTTTGCCATTTTCGCTTGTTATGGATACCTAGAGAAGTACACCTGACAGATTTTGAATGAGATAACATTTCCACCGGCCACATATTCGATTGCTGCCGGTCATCCTGACTATTAGTTGCCCTGTTCTGATAGAACCGTGCTCTATGTAGGCAAAACTTTCGAATTTCTAGCCCTAAAACATATGATCCACTGTACTTAATGCACGAGATTGCACCGGGTGTGTGAGGACGTCTTTAAGAAGACTTTCGATGGTTTGGACTTTTCAGAGTGCTGCAGTAGAAGTGCTCAAAAACTCCGTAGAAAACATCGTTCCACGCATTCTTATGGCAGACAAGAGCGACGGGACATAGAAGGAAAATCTGGGAGATAATAAATAGAAAAGATCAAGTGGACTTAATCGTTCAATAAGAAAATAGCAGACAAGTCGGCTTTCATACGATTCCTCCTTGATGCACAACTGAAAGTGACCTCCTGAATTGTCTGCCGTGAGTCTCGCAAGGTGTGGAATAAACCCGTGATAAAAAAAAACACTAAAGGCGCGCAGCTGACCACAAGCCAAAATTATCACCCACTCTCTCTTTCTAGCTCTTAAATAACAGGTCTGAAGCTTTACACAAGGACGATATCGATTCGTAGGTGAGGAGCTTGATCCCGACGAATGGTCGGCTCGATTGTATGCCCACCAACAGCGTTTACAGGAAAACACACTTCCTGCAGGCAGTGGGCACCTTTATTAGACAGGGACAAACACCAGAAAGGCATTGCAATTGCCGTGACAAACTCGCCCGTTGCAACTTAAAATGAACATTTTGAACCTCCTCTGAACCTCTAGGACGGCCCCAAGAGCCTTGTTTGTACAGAAGGCATTTCAATATGATTTTGTAACAGGGTGCTTCCATCACCCGAAATCAATCTGACCAGAGTGGGAAACGAAAATCGGTTGCACTTCCTGACTGCGATTTTCAGAAAGGTCATTCCGCTCCCACGTTAACGATTTTGGGTCATGCTTAACAGTGACTGACCAAGAGTATTCCGGGCAGAGCTGGTGGCAACCCCGCCAGCTTCCAATGAGAATCTTGGAACTTTAACGAATTTCGTTAATGTCGTTGCTAAGTGTTCATCCAAAAAAGGTCAACTACTCAATAATTCGATAACGGTCCGGTTTTTTGGGCCATATAGATTCCCTAATGCTGCTTGATCCAAAATGTTTACTGGTACAATAACCTCCTCTTGATATTTTGGTGCCGCTCTGATAATCGCTTCTCCACGGTCCCCTCGTAGAAAGATTTACAATCCGGTGGTCTTGATTCCTTTTTCCATATTTTTCTCCCACATACTCCTGTTCATCTAGGTTTCCAGTTATCCTCTGCAATCTCTTGTTTGTCTTTTACCAATATTCTGACTCTGTTGCATATAATAAGATATGATATTCAGATATTTTAATACAGTTTCTGGTAGAGGGTTGTCTAATGCTTTTCTAGTGAATAACATAATTCGGCAACACTCAAGTGAAACCCTTGTGATAAATAGCACGTGACGTAATTCTATACCATCTGATGCACGAACGCATGCTGGACGAGGATTCTTTCAGCCAACTGTACCAATCAGAATTGTAGAAGTTTTCTTGCTTAAGTGCAGTGCATGCTCCTGTTGACGCTCGCATTGGTCTAAACTCCATTTTCTATAACTGAGGTGAGTTCTTTGCGATTGAGATCAATCAAAGTACAGCTTACCGACGAACTTATGCTTTCAACAATTCATGCGTAATTTGAAACAGCGTTTGCCATTGTTGTCAAGTATCGAAAGTACAAGCTGCGCGTACGCGTGTGCAAACGTCTTTAAAGTCTTACAATTCAGTGCTTCTGCTTCTGACCCATTCTGAAATGGGTAACCCTGAGGATGTTTGCAGACGTGTTCATATAGGGTGCATCTGACAATACGAAGGGGTCCATGCCTTCTGTGGTGTATAAGTAACGTTAGTTGAGTGAAGCAAACGCAGTGTGCACTTTCGATACTTGACAGCAATGGAGAACGCCGCATGTTCCAAATTACGCATGAATTGTTGAAGGTTTCGGTTCGTCGGTAACCCGTACTCTGGATGAGATCAGCCGCAAAAACACACCTCAGTTGTAGAAAGTGGAGTTTAGACCAATGCGAAGGTCAACACGAGCGTCCACAGTGTGGCCCACAGGCGGTAGGCGTATGAAGTAAGTTATAGTGAGGTAAGTCTGTGCAGCACTTACCGCACTTTCTTCATCCTCGTCAACCGGTGCCCGGTGACAAAACAGACTTAAGACAACCGGATGTGGGCTCGGACAAAAACAACCCGATAGTATACGCATGCTAGACACAATCTGGTCCTCGCAGAACTCAATACTCGCTTTCACGAAGGGAAAATTGTGAAAACGTCATAAAGGCCACAATAAGAATTAGCAACCCAGCCGGACTCGCACTTCTCCAGCCAGTAGGTTGCACAGCCCAACGACATTTCCCGTCAAGCAGCCTGTTTGTTGAATGATCCGGCAGAATGACGCGCAGTTACTGCATTCTAGTACACTGGTAGAAAATTATCCTCCAGGGGGGGATTATTTTTGCATTTATTGACGCACCAGGTCGCAAACTAAACTCTGGGGCGCTTACTA